CCATTTCTCCATGAAACATCGTTTTTCTTGTTTAGTTGTGGAAAGAACAAATAGATTCGTATCAGAGCAGTTGGCACTAACTCCCAGGTACATCGTCTGGTTGGTACTCGAGGTCTATTTGTATGTAAATTTTCCGGCGCTCTTTTTCTCCTCCTTGAATAAGAAGTCATAGCTGGTTGTTGTGTAGCACGCTGACTGTTCCTACAAAACAACAAATTTAACACTTAAATGTATTTTTAACGAAGTAAATTTCATTGACCTGAAAACAAATGCAAATAACTTGTCGAAACCTGAATTATTTTCAGGCTTCTTTCTTGCGTTTGCTTTTGCAGACATAAAAATTGTTTTTGATATTGTACCACAACTTGCTTATCATCATCATCATCACTATCGTGGTCGTCGTCGTGATTATCATTTTAATTTATAGTATTTATTATTTGATTTATAATTTTTTATCATTCCATTACCATGAGTTAATTTTCTTATAATTAGAGCAAGAAAATAAGGGAAAAACATGGACTTGCGCGATTAAAATAAATCTAGAAGACCAACCTAAGTGGGTCTTCCTTTCCCCTTTTAAATAAGCGCACTAAATTTACCTCAAAAACTACGTTTGTCCCATTTATGACTTTCAACGAATATCTGGTGCGTCCCTCTTCAAATTGAATACACTTCTTACCATTGTACCCTACAATCTTAAATCCTGCAAGGGAATAAACAGGTTAGTGAAAAAAACGAATTTGGAAGGACTTCGACTCTCCGCTAATGTAATCATCATATAATCAGCCAGTCCCTGAAGAAGACACCTTCGCATTTCGTGCAGATAATTTTTTTGTAAATATATAATCGCTAATATTCTGTATTGAACGAATCTGTTTCAATGTTATCATTTATACGTTATGTATTTTGCTGCTCAGTGCAAATAGAAATATTGCAAAATTTTCGAGTTTTTTCCTAAGCTATATTTCTTGGTTTCCCCGAGGGATCGAGATCTCATGACATTTTTGGCCGTTAATGACCATACATTGCAGAATTGACAATAATGTGTTTGGAAAATATTTAACAGAGTTTAACCCATCTAGGCCGTCTTTTTCTTAGCAAATTCTTGAAGAATGAAAACAACACGAATCTATAATCCCCAGATCTAATTTTTCAACTAGTTTATACTGTAACCATGTAATATACCCACTTGTCTTTTCGTCGGAAGTGCTTGTGCCATTGCAGTAAACCGTACATTGCTTCTTTCCGTTTACAACTTGACACTGGTTTGTGTGAATCTTTATCAGATTTCCTCTTGGGCATGTCCCTCTTTTAAAAGACGAACCTATGCTCCTTACCAGTGAAGTGTCGTTCGATTGCGTTTTTCCGTGTGGCAGCATAATTACAAATGCAATCTGGAAAGAAATAAATTGAAGACTCCTGGTAAGAGAACACCTCGAGTACCTTTTACGGTCGCCACGGTGAACGTGCCAGAACTTGATGATGTATCAGATAGGTAAATTTGATAACAAATAGTTTGTACATTCACCGTTCTGTGAGCAGCTTTATTGTCTGCTTGACTGACCTAGCTTCTTGTATGATTTTTCTATCAACTGCTGCTTAACTTGGAGCAGAGGTCAAAGATATTTGTTTTTCTTAGCTCATTTAGACCTTCTTTAAGTCTGATCTATTTATGCATATTGTGGGTTGTTGCTTCCTGGCGTCGCCCTTTCTAATTACGATGTTTTTGTCCCACCATAATATTTATGAGAAAACATCCTCAAAATTCAGGAACCTGAAGTTAAAAAGGAGATAGAGAAAAACTTCGGCCAGTCAGAAAGGAACCTCTCTGTAAACTTCGTTTGAAAGATCTGGTGAAAATACAAATGTTGGCCTGTGTTCTTTTTTGCTTCTTTTTAAGTGCCTTGAATTTACTTTCCATGACCTATTAACTGACACCCTCATATTTTACGTGTCATTTACCTCATCGTCGACTCTTACTAACTAACATGTGGAGGTTTATATGAAAGTGCTGACAGCTGAGTATTGGAACGTGACCGCACTATTCTAGAATGCTCTTCCGTAGAGTTTCTTAGGAGAACTTGGAATTGTTTCACTGTCATTGGTTTTACCCATAAAGGTAATCGTTATCTTGCACAATGTTTAAGTGATGTTGCAAAATCGCCGATTGTGTCAAATTTAGGAACCTGAAGTCAAAAAGGAAAATTACCCTGACATAAAAAATTTTGGTTACAATGAATATATGAAGTTCATATATAACTTTTATCTACTGCGAAGAATCGTGCATCAAACGTTTAAAAAATTTTGGCTACTCTGAAAGGAACTGTATTCTGCAAACATCGATGTGTGTTTTAAGGGGATTTACTGGAATATCCGCTCCAAAAATTTTCTAAAGAGGTGTCTGATAGCTTCGAAAAAACCTCTTTGTGAAAACCTTTCGCACCCGCTGTCAATAGATGAAAAATTTTCTATGGAAATGTTTAAAAAGCCTGGATTTTAGCAATTGACTTGATTAAAACACATAACT